TATATATATATATATATATATATAAAGAAATAAGAAAATACTTATATATATTAAGAAATAAGAAAATACTTATATATATATATATATATATTACTTATTCCATTATGTATTTAGCATGTTAAACGATACTAAGATTTAGGAGGTTTCAGAGACATTATTAACCTACTTATAACAATATAATAATGATACTCGAAATTACCTCTCAGCTTCTTGTGTGTAATGCACATAACCTATCATACCTACTGAAGTTGCACAGCACAATGTAAAAGTAATTTTTGATGCAAGAGACATGTCTTTTTCACTGTTTCTTTGAATACATACACACATGCATAACCATGCATTTACGATGCCTACTATTTATCGTTCACATGCGAGATATCGAACGTGTATCGTAAATTATTCTTTCGATTCTCGCAGATGTAAATGGTAGTTTCGTGAAAAATGTAAAGTGTAAATTCTCCGTGAAAAATCCGTGGAAATCCAAGCGATCATTGAATCTGGATATTGAGAAACGTAAGTAAGACATTCTTTTAAATATTTTATTTATTATTTTGCTATTTTATTTATTATTTATAAGCAATCACCATTATTTAAATAGGATTTAATTTTCATGCCTTTTCAAATATCATGCTGCCACCTTAATAACGTACTTTGAAAAGTACGAAACATCATTATTCACCTATTTAATCAATATTAATTAAAAATGGGGCAATTATTATTTATTTTATGCAATTTATAAAAAGAATTATTATTAGAGCGTGGATTTTCATGCATCTATTAGAAATTTAAAAATACAAAAATACATAGAGTATGTATATGTATAGAATGTAAACATATACCATGTATCCAAATTACAATATTTATAGGCAATAGTTAAAGAATGAAAGCTGCCTATCTATTTCTTTAATCATGTATGCACAAAAATATAAACTTTGCATAAAAACACAAACGAGATATATGAATATACATTGTCTGTGCACAAAAATTTGTATTGATAGAAAACTAAATTGCTAGGAAAATATTCAATTTCCTTCTTGTAAAAGAACACACTGAGTACATTAAAAGTTTTGAAATAAACAAATAACTACGCGATAACAGCGCCCCAATGGTGAAATACACAATACTTCCTACGATTCTCGAACGTAATCGATACTTCTCATGAGCGATGTTTAAGCGGGAAGAATGGCGGAACGAAGCATACCTCATTTGTAAAGAAGGATATATTATCGAGAAGAATCATCCAGAAGTTCTCAAGTAAAAATATAAATCAATAGCTGTTAGATTTGCGTCTGTATTATAAATTTTTGCATTAAAATTTGCATTTTTGGCTTCAACTGATCGAAA